TATAACTAATGTTTGTATTAGTTATACATAGGTTGAAAAGGTGTACTAAACAAATCATTACTAATACACAAAGCTAATGCATGCATTATTTTCTCTAACACACTCTACCAAATGACCTCTTAGAGTATCAGAAGGACCCGAAGAAGGTACACCATCAAGCAGGTTCCCTGATAAATTTTGAAAATATGAGCATCAAACTTCCAAATAATTGCAATGTTATCTGTCACTTGTTTGTTCTAAATTTTCCATGTGTGTCTACCTATAACGGTATAGAATTGAGTTAGAGGTCACAAGAAAACACTTTTAGCAACTTACCTTACCATATTTTCATAGCTAATCATCGAGGGATCGGGTTCTCAATTCAGCTTAATCACTCCCAACTCCAGATGATTTCTTTCAAAATGCTCTCTGCTCAGTGCATTGGTGAAGATATTCGCTACCTGGTCCTTTATTTTGTAGAACTTCATACAGATGAGTCCTTTTTCAACATTGTCTCTCAAGAAATGATGTCACACATCAATGTGATTTGTCTTCTTATGCTAAACCAAGTTCTTTGCCATGCTGAGAGCACTTGTGTTATCATATAATAATGGCACACAATTAGAAAATACACCAAAATCTTCTAGTTGTTGCTTGATCCACAGTAGTTGGGCACAACAGGAAGCAACAACCACATATTCAGCTTCTGCAATAGAGAGGGCCATATAGTTTTGTTTCTTTGTACCCCATGAAATCAAGCATAACCCCAGAAAGTGTGCCATTCCAGATGTATTCTTTTTACCCTCCTGATATCCAGCATAATCAGCATCAACATACCTAATTAAGTCAAAATTATCTCTAGAGGAATAATAGAGGACCGGGTCCTACGTTCCCTTGAGATACCTCAAAATTCTCTTGGCAACCTTCAAATGAGATTCTTTTGGAATTGATTGAAATCTAGCACATAGCCCAATACTAAACACAATATCAGGTTTGTTGGTCGTCAGGTACTGAAGTGATCCAATAATACCCCTATACATAGTTTCATTTACAGGGGAACCAGGTTTGTCCATGTCTAGACGAGTGGCAATAGCAATGGGAGTATCAATGGTTTTTGAGCTTTCTATTTCAAATCTTTTTAGCAGCTCCTTGATGTACTTCTGCTAACTTATCATAGTTCCTTTAGAGGTTTGCTTTACTTGAAACCCAAGGAAGAAGTTTAGTTCCCCCATCATGCTCATCTCAAATTCACTTCCCATGAGCTTTGCAAACTCCTCACAAAGGGAATCAATTGTTGCACTAAAAATGATGTCATCAACGTAAACTTGCACAATCAACAGGTTCCTCCATCATTTCTTCAGAAACAGGATGTTGTCAATTTTTCCTCTAGTGAAGCCATTCTGCAGAAGGAACCTAGACAATCTCTCATACCTTGCACGAGGGTCTTGCTTCAATCCATATAAAGCTTGTTAAGCTTGAAGACATGTTCAGGATGTTCATGACATTAAAAGCCAGGTGGTTTCTTGACAAAATCAAATATCCATTTAGAAATGCTCTCTTAATACCATTTGGAACAATTTGAATTCCACATGAGATGCAAAAACAATAAGAATTTTGATGGCTTCCATTCTGGCAACGGGAGAAAATATTTCATCGTAGTCAATTCCTTCTTCTTGATTGTAACCTTGGACCATTAGCATGGCTTTATTCCTTGTTGTATTGCCAAACCTATCAAGTTTATTTCTGAACACCCATATGGCTCCAATCACTATTCTATCTAAGGGCCGAGGAACCAGGTGCCATATATTTTTTTTTTCAAATTGATGGAGCTCTTCTTGCATAGCAGCAATCCAGTCGGCATCTTTTAACGCTTTCATGATATGTTTTGTCTCAATTTGAGACAAGAAGGCTGAGAAAGCAAACATGTTTCTTGCCTTGGATCTAGTCTGAATACCAGAGTCCAAAGGAGTGATCACATTTTGAAGAAGATGTGAGCTCATGTGCTTCCAGTTAGACACATGGGTTTCAGGACCAAAGGTACTGGGTTCCTCCATGTGTGACCCAACATTGGCATCAATGAAAGTATGAGTACCACTTCGTTACTCTGCACCAAGAGTGTCTAATACAGCATCAACAACTCTATTGTCAACTTCAGTTGCTGTGATGGAGGGACCAGGTTCCTCCAAATCAGCTGGAAGTTCTGCTGCATCTTTTTTACTAGTTTCCTTGACTTAACTCATTAGATCTACCTTCCCATTTTCCATATCTATAATCTCTCCAGGGACCTTTGAGAAGTCTCCATCTAGATCATCCTTATCATGTGAATCTTTTTGAGTGGTGAGATTCATCAAAGATCACATGTACACTTTCCTTTACGCATTGAGTCCTTTTGTTGTAGAATTTGTATGCTTTGCTTTGAGAAGAGTAACCAAAAAAGATTTCTTCATAACTCTTTGCATTGAATTTTCCCAATGCTTCCTTACCATTATTGAGAATGAAGCATCTGCATCCAAATGCTCTTAGGTAAGTCAGCTTTGGTTTTTTCCAATAAGCAATTCATAAGGGGTCTTGTTAAGCAGAGACCTGATCACGCACCTGTTAATCAAATAACAAGCATTGTTCACTCCTTCAACCCAGAAGCTCTTTGGCACACCACTGTCAATCAATATTGTCCTAGCCATATCTTCAAGAGTCCTATTTTTCCTCTCCACAACATCATTTTGTTGAGGTGTTCTGGGAGTAGAAAAATATTGACTTATACCATTTTCAGCACAAAATTCATCAGACTTGGCATTGTCAAACTCGGTGTCATGATCAGATCTGATACTCACAATATTATAGCTCATCTTCACTTGAATCTGTTTCACAAATGCAACAAAAACTGGAAACATTTCATCCTTTGTCCTGAGAAATAAGGTCCATGTGAATCTGGAGTAGTCATCAACAATAATGAAGATGTACTTCTTTCCTGATCTACTAGGGATCCTCATAGGTCCACACATATCCATATGAAGAAGATCTAGTGGCCTTGAGGTTCTCACTTTCTTATTTGGTTTGAATGAGGTCCTGACTTGCTTCTCTTTCACACATGCATCATACACTTTGTGATCTTTAAATGTTGACTTTGGCCGTCCACGAACTAGGTCATTCTTGATCAGCTTGTTCATCAGAGAAAAACTTACATGCCCTAATTTTTTATGCCATATCTCATCATCATCATTAATGGTACTCATGCATGTAAGATCACCACCATTCAGAAATTCAAAGTCTGCAACATAAATATTTTTGAACCTTTTTGCAATCAGAACCACTTCACCAGTTATAAGGTTGATGACAATACATGACTTTGACAAGAAATCCACTTTGTTTCCTTTGTTATAGATTTGAGAGACATTCAACGGGCTATATTTCAAGCCATTCACATAATACACATTTTCAATTAAGTGGAGAGTGTTTTGCCAATCTTTCCGACTCCCAAAATGTATCCCTTTTTGCCACTTCCAAAGGACACACTCCCACCTTGCACGGCATTGAGTAAGGAAATAGTCCATTTTTCTAGTCATGTATTTAGAGCAGCCACTATCCATGTACCATCTTTGACTTCTTTCCCTCACTACTGCCTACACAAGAAAATTAGAGATTAGACTTAGGAAGCCAAACGAGTTTGGGTCCCTTGTAATGATGGAATGGGTGAATCAAACTTCTTTTTGTCTATGCAGGAATCACATGCTTCTTTTTCAGGGAACCAAGTTCCTTAGCAGTAGGTACTTTTTCAGCAAAAAATTTATTTTTCTGCTGAGACTGAAGTTTGGCTTTACAAGAATCTTTGTAATGACCAGTTTGACCACAGTGAGTATAAAGCCAGTTATCAGTCACAGTAACATACTTGCTATGTGGATTATAGGGAGATTTAGCCTTATGGAACTCGATTCCTTGCATGTTCCCCCATTACTTTTATACATAGAAGTGATTATATTAGAGGACCAGGTTCACTTAAGTGACTTATCTAGATCATTTTTAACCTTGCTTAAGTCCTCCTGAAGTTGTCTATTCCTTTCAAGTTCAGCTACAAGACTTAATTTGACATTTTTGAGTTCATTTTCAAACTTAAGTTTTGCCTCACTTGCCACTTCCTTTCCCTTAGGGTTGATCATGCAATTTCTAATTTGATTCTTTAACATGGTATTTTCCCTCGTTATTTCTTGCATTGTTTCCTTCTGATCTACAACTACAACCACCAAATCATCTCTTTCTTGTTCTACCTCACAAATTTCCTCAGTTAAAGCATTTTCATCATTAATGAGGTTGTGGTAAGCATCAATTAAGACATTTGCTAAAGAGACCCGCTTATTTTGAGAGTAATTTTTCAGGTTTCTTTGAACGTCAAGAAAGCTTACCTCGTCAATGTCATTGTCTTCTTTATCATCATCAGATTTTACCATGAGTGAAAATATAGATTCATACTCTGTAGATTCACTTTTAACATCCATCATGGAGGTGTATCCTTGGTCATCATCACCTTTAGATTCGTCAGAGGAATCTCCCCAGGTAGCTAGAGCTTGCTTCATAACATTATCAGCGGCATCTCTTCTTTTGAACCTCCTGTCAGGGACCGGGTTCCTCTTGACCGCCTTGTTTGCGTTGTGTTTGTAGCAGTCATGCTTATGGAGAGGACACTATTTGATGAAATGTCCTGGATTTCTGCATTTGTGGCAGCAATCATTTCCTTTGGTATTTCTGCTAGAGCTGTCTTTCTTGGGAATTCATCCATTTCTACGAACAATTTTCTGGAATCCACGAGTAAGATAGGCCATGTATGTTTCATCACCACTTGATTCACTGTTCTCCGCCTTGAGAACCAGGTTCTTCTCCTTTTGGGGCTCTCTTCTTTCAAGATCATTCTTCTTCTTCTTCTTCTTCTTCTTCTTCTTCTTCTTCTTCTTCTCCTTCTTCTTCTTCTTCTTCTTCTTCTTCATCTCATAGGTTTTAAGATTTCCAATGAGTTCTTCAATGGTCAGCTTCTACAGATCCTTGGCTTCCGTGATAGCATTGAGTTTATTCTCCCAGGAACTTGGTAACACACTGAGTATTTTCCTGACCAGTTTATTTCTTTGGATAATTTCTTTAAGAGAGTGAAGCTCATTGACGATTGAGGTAAAACTCATGTGCATGTCCTGAATGGACTCATCCTCCTTCATCTTGAAGAGTTCATACTCAGTTGTAAGCATATCAATTTTTGACTGCTTGATCTGAGTAGTTCCCTCATGTGCTGTTTGGAGAGCTTCCCTGATCTCCTTGGCTAACTGACATCCTGAGATGCAGTTATATTCATTTGGTCCAATCCCACAAACAAGAATCTTCTTAACCCTGAAGTTCTTCTCGATGGCCTATCGATTGGCATCATTGTACTCCTATTTTATCTTTGGAACTGTAATTGTTCCCTCACCAATGGTTTTCGTGGGGACAAAAGGTCCATTGCAAATCACATCCCAGAGCTCTGAATTCTCAGCCATAATAAAATCATGCATTCTCATTTTACACCAACCATAGTATTAGCCATTAAATCTAAGTGATTTGTAAGTTGATTGTCCTTCTTTGAAGTTTGGTGGAGCAGCCATGTAGATCATTTCTAGGTGTTAACCTTTTAGAAAGAACTTGCTATGATACCAATTGATAGAAACTAAGAGTCTACAAAATTGTATAGAGAACCTGGTTCTCTATTAGTTCCCACAGAAACAACAGTAAGTAAAGAACACAACAATATTTACGTGGAAAACTCCCAGCTCTTGGGATTAAAAACTACGACCTACCCTAGTAGGATTTTAACTTCACTAACTGAGAAAACTTTAGATTATAACCTATTACAATCTAGAAATTAAACTGGTAATCTATTGTAAGCCTCTTTCTAATGACTCCATTACAAAGCTACACACTTGACTAACTCTAGTCAAAATAACAAGAACAATAATGGTTTAAGAGATGTCCTGCGAAATACTTCTGAAAAGCTAAGTAGGAATTACAAGTGAATAACATGAAACAAAAACACAACAACACTAAAGGACATAACAAATTATCAATGCTGGGAACTGGTCCTTTGGTCTGTCGCTGCTTTGTTCTTCAATGCCTCAGAGGAAATAAGGGCGGTTGTACACTTGAGAGAAATCTTTGTTTAGGTTTTGCAAGTGTTAAGTGAAACCCCTGCCTCATGTTGATAATATGTGTGTGAGGTCATGAAAGATGATGCAAGGAAGTGTCTGGTACATGGCACATTTCAACAGTGTTGTTGTACTGTTGCGTGTACAGTACAACAGCTTTAACCTCTATATAGTTGACTTGTACTATGATCGGAAGAACCGATCACTATCTATTCCCTCTGATGTACCCTTATCTGATTTCATTGAGAATTGAACCAGCCATCTGACTAGTTATTCTAAATACAAGGGAACTAATTGTATTAGTTTCCTTATCTGGTTCTCTCATAAAGTTTGTCAAATCATCCAAATAAAAGACACATAACTTACCACAATGCTAATGCTTTAGCACTGAAGGTTCAAACAGTGCAATATTTCTTTTCATTTAAAGCTCAAAATATGAGCCGCAAAACCATTATTAGTTGCTAATCACCAAAACAACTAAAGTTGAGGACCAAGTGTCACGACCCCAGTTTTCCTCTATAGGATGTCGTGATGACACTTAGTCTCTAAGACTAGATAAGCCTAACCCTTACTGAATTAAATGACAGAATTTAACCCAAATGATAGTTAAAAATAAACCATATATTTCTATATAAAACCAACAATCCCAACATGATACAATATCCCAAAATCGATAGTACAAGTCATAAGCTCTACTGAGTTCACTAGAAAATTTCTAAATACAACTGTTCCGAAATAGAAATAAACTGTACAAAATAACTTTAGAAGGTGACTCTAAGGTCTGCAAACGCGATGTCAGGTATACCTTGAGTCTCCACAGCAATGCCCGAACAGTTAGCTAGCGATCAAAAAAATCCAAAGTACCTGGATCTGCACAAAATATGCAGCAAGCGTAGTATGAATATACCACAGCGGTACCCAGTAAGTATCAAGACTAATCTCAGTGGAGTAGTGATGTGGAATAGTCAAGACACCTACTAGACACAATAACATGTACAAGTATAAATGTGAAACTAACAGGAAACAATATCAATATAAATCTAAGCATGATAAAAATATCAAAACAATACTTGCAATAGGTCCGTTCATTTGTCCAGAAATATGTTTTCGGCCTATCTATCGATTGAACCAGAGAAAAAAGCAACAATTAGCAACGAGTCACAATAGGTAATAACACCGAGGATAAAGTTGAATATAGTTCAAGTCCGGTGAAACCAAGTAAGGAAAACAAGTAACAACTCAATAAGAACAAATGCTTTCACTCAAGATCTATTCAAGAATTTCCCCGAGGTACCAAACCTCATAATCACAATTCACGGGTCCTAATTCATGAACCCTTATCACTTGGCATCTTGTGCCCATATTACAAATCACAATCGCACGGACAACTCACGTGCCAATACCATTAATACCTCATATATGCACGGACAACTCACGTGCTAAGGGAGTGACATTATCTCATATCCGCACGGACAATTCGCATGCCAACAATAACAATGACTCATAACCACACGGACAACTCACGTGCCAACACTAACCATAACTCATAACCACACGGATAACTCACGCCAATAGTATAACTCTCACACAGAAGACAAGTAAACGAGAATACATGTAAATGATCAATAAACATCAGGATTATCTTCTTAAACCAATATGAGTGATTAATTACGTGTATGCTTGAGCAAATGTTTTATCACAACTCCAATCAACAAGTAAGAGCATAGAGAACGAATAGTACATAGGAAACAACACAACAAAACGTAAAATGCATGACTCACACAAGGTAGACACACCACCACACAAATATCATCAATAACAATACCCCCAGTCCATCACAAATCATCCCCGACATATCCCCCCTTATCTCGCCACGAGCGCAACAATAAAGTAAATGCACATCTTGTCTCGCCGCACACGCATAATAATATTCCCACCTTGTCTGGCCATATGCGCAAACCCAGATATATATAGCCCATCTTGTCTCGCCGCACACGCATAATAATATTCCCGTCTTGTCTAGCCACATGCGCAAACCCACATATATATAGCCCATCTTGTCATGCCGCATGTGCAATTATCAATGATAACAATAGCACGGATAACTCACGTGCGAACGCGCCGACAATCATCTCAACAATATCACGTGTGCCAAAAACATAAGAATGCAATATAATGACTTGCACCACATGTGCCCATATACCACAACATTTCCTTAAAATAATTTCAGTACCACAACCACGCATAGCCCTCGACTCAAAAACACTGAGTACAATGATAACAAAAACAATAACATGAGAGTACGACAAGTAAACCAACACAAGAATTACAAAACATAAAGAAACGGAAGAACGAGCTCACAATGAAAGACATAATAAGTAATAATGGTTTCAAGTGAGAATAACTCAACAATGGGAGAGATAGTGTGTAACAATGATATCAAATAAGAGTAACTCAACAATGGAAGGGATGTACACTTGACGATAAGAGAGATAACGTGTAACAATGATTCCAAATAGGTACAACTCAACGACAAGAGAGATAACATGTAACAATGATTCCAATTAGGTACAACTCAAGGATAAAAGAAGTAACATGTAACAATGATTTCAAATAAGGATGAGTCAACAATGGAAGAGATAATAATAACTTCAATTAAGGATAATCAACTACGGAAGAGATAACATGGCAATAAAAGAGGTAACAACTTCAATTTACGCATATAAGAGTATATTTGGCAATAAAGGATAGAACATGAACCAATCAACCACAAATAAGACACGTAAGGGTGAATTTAGCAATGGAGGATTTAACATGATAAGACGACTTCATTTTTAATTTACATAAGAACCTAAGAGTCTAAGCCGGTAAAATTTTTACATATAAGTCGTGTACACACTCGTCACCTCGTGTACACGTCTTTCACGTAGTTCAAATAGTACAAACAACCAATCCCTACGGGATAGCTCCCCCACACAACGTTAAGCAAGACACTTACCTCAAAATCCCTCAATCAACACACTAAAATAGCTTTTCCTTTACCATGCACCTCTGCTCGGCTCAAATCTAAACAAAATTGACTCAATAATGTCAAATAGTGCAAGAGAAATCAATTCCAATAATTAAAGCAATGATCTTCACACACTTCTTCAAAAGTCAACATGGGACCCGCCCGGTCAACCCGAGTCCAATGGTAGATTCCGATTACCCATGACCCAACAAGTTCATATATGTTATTAGTTTCAAAATCTGAGTCCAAATCGACTCTAAAAACTCAAATTCTCATTTTTCAAAAACTTGACAAAGTTTCACAAATTTTCACTTTGATTCATATGATTTTGATGTCAAAATATAAGATATAATGATGGAATTAGATTAGAAATTGATTAGAATCACTTACCCAAAGTTTGTAGATGAAAATCCCTCTTCAAAATCGCCTCCTATCTAGTCTAGGGTTCCAAAATATGAAAATGAGACCAAAATTCCCGTTCCTTAGTTTTCAGTCTAGTCGTAGGTGTCGCAAATACGACCCGGGGTTCGCAAATGTGAACCCCGCGAATGCGAAGAAACTATCGCAAAAGCGAAGCCCTCCCATTCATACTATCATCGCAAATGCGATGAATAGTTCGCAATTGCGAAGATAGGATTCGTAAATGCGACCTTGAAGATCGCAAATGTGAACTAGCTCCCCCAGGCGCCCACCGCAAATGCGAACACTGGGTTCACAAATGCGAACCCATCAGACTTGGCCTAACATCGCAATTGCAATCCAAAACTCGCAAATGCGAGACTTGAAGCACCTGTGGAAAACCAGCAGACTTAACCTCTATCAACACTCCGCTATGCATCCGAAACTCACCCGAGCCCTCGGGGCTCCAAACCAAATATCAATACAAGTTAAAAACATAACATGAACTTGCTCTCGCGATCAAACTATCAAAATAACATCTGGAATCACGAATCGGACCTCAAAACACATGAATTCGACATGAAACTCAAGATCTTCTAAAAACATCCCGAAAAAGAAATCTGAACACGATAGCTAGGAAGTCAACCTACGGTCAAACTTATAAAAATTCAAAACCTTTAAATTGTCAACTTTCGGCAAAACAATACAAATCAACCTACGGACCTCCGAATTCGATTTCGGGCATACGCCCTAGTCCAAAATCACAATAAAAACCTATTGGAGCCATGAAAATACCTCTATGTGGTCGTTTTCACAAAACTCAAACCTCAGTCAACATTTTCAACTTAATATTCTAAAGTGAGAACTACTCATCCAAATTCATTATGCATCATTCGAACATCAAATCTGAGCATACACACAAGCCATAATATGCAATAAGAATCTATTC